ATTCAAAGCTCTTCATAATCCTACCTTTCCAGTCTTTTTATATCTTGCTGTCCTCCAGGCATTCTATGATCTCATTACACCGGCCTGTCAATTCCCTGAATACAGTACTCATCTTCCAACTTGATGTCTTTGTGCTGTCTGTCCCCTAGGCCTCAAATGCTCTGTGTCCTCACCTCAGCTTCTTAGTTCCCTTGGCTTCCTTCAAGACAGCCCAAAGCCTACCTTCTGCAGGAGAACTTTCCTGGTGGTCTTTCTCCCTCCAAACCCATATTCCCCTCTCAGATTACTTTATAATATATCTTGTACGGACCTAATGGTTCACATGTTGTCTCCTCTTTTAGAATGCATGTTCCATGAGAGCAGGCTTAACTTATTTTTTTTAATTTCTAGTTAGGTGCCTGTGGTACATAGTAAGAACTTAACAGATGTTTGCTGACTGACTACTGAGGGGAAACAATCCCCTCTTTGTGACCTGACACAATCAACCAGATAAATTAATGCAAAATATATACAAAAGAGAATCAGTTAATCACCTGCAAATGTCACAAAGAACAGCTGGAGACACTGAAAGTCTAATTAACTTACCCATGGTCACACTTCTAGTAGCATCAGCCTCCAACTGTAAGGTCCAACCCTCTATTGCCTCTCTTCTTCACCTGTAAAACAGAAGTTAGAGTACCTGCCATACCTGTATAGCAGGAACAAATGAGATAACATGCAGAGGACAAAGCTATGTCAATAGAAAACAATTAAGGAGAGGCAGTATGTTACACTGAAATGAGGATAAAAACACCTGTAGTACCTACCTCACATGGTAGTTGTGAGAATCAAAGGAGACAATTATGTAGTATACCCTAGTCATTCAGTTCCTCAACCTACTCACTTCCCATGACCTGCTCCTCCACCTCAGACATACACAAAGACAGTAATACACTTGATTTTGCCACAAATGCACCACCTCCATAAGAATGATGATTTTGAATAATTCCAATCAATAGTGGGTTAATTCCCAAATCCTCTTATTTGACCATAATCTATTAGCTATTCACCTCTCCCTCTGCCTTTCTTTACCATACCTTACTCTTCCTCCACATTGTGACCTCCAATCCCTCAACCCCTCAGTTCTCTCCCAGGCTATCACCCCTGCACTAGCCACTCTCTACTCTTTTCCCTGTCTTTACCCCTTGGTGAACCAGTTTAACTCTACATTGTTCTCTTCTCCTGAGTCTCTGGCACCTTTATGTCACCAAACATACCTAGCCAAGCCTCAGCCTTGGATCACCTCCCCAATCTTTAGTTCCTTCACTCCTACATACCTGCTGGTGAATGAAAGTGAAGAAAATCACACAACCATTCTGACTGGGTCCACTATGAATTTACATTACACAACCTCACTGGGCTCTCACTGCTGCTAGGCAATCCCACTATATCTTCCTTATCAACTCACTCTCCACAGTGGTTCTTCCAAAGCTTTTCATCCCTTCTCAAACTTTCCATGGTCCTGCCTATCCCCACTTTCTCAGCTGAGAACCTGGCCTCATGTTTTACAGAAAAAAAACTGAAGCCATTCACTGTGATCTCTTTCTTCCTCATCACACTCAGATAGTTTCTGCAACAATTTCCCCTGTCACCCATTTCACATGAAGAGGCAGCCTTACTCCCTACCAAGGCTTACCCTTCCACCTGCACGAGGGATCCTATTCCATCCTGTCTCCTTTTGTCATCCCTCTCTATCACTTATCTTCAATCTCTCCCTGTCTACTGACTCCTTCCCTACTGCTTACAAATGTGTCCATGTCTCCTTCTCCTAAAAAGATATTCACTTGATTCTGCCATGCCCACTATCATCCTGTATTTATTCTGCCCTTTGTGGTTAAACTCCTTGAGAAAGCTGTCTACAATAGGTGCGTCATCTTCCTCTGCTCTCCCTCCCTTCTTGACCCCTTACAATCTGGTTTCTGACCTCATCATTCCACCAAAACTGTTCCCTCCAAAGTGACCAATGATCTCTTGACTGCTGTGAGAAATAACTCATTTAGGCTCAGGAGGGATGAAGTTAAAAGCCCAATTTATTATGAAGTTGCAACCCTGGGTGTCCTATGGTCTAGAACACACTGTACCAAAGCAGGAGTTTGTGAGGGATGAAATCCCTGGAACAGTTAAGTGTCCTCAGGAGCTTAATATAAACTATTAAATCTTGTTGTGTATTTTGGAATAGCATATGTCCTACTCCAACCTCCAAGAGAGAACAGTGTGCAAATTTTGCAAACACTGAAACTGCTTACCCTTGCAAGGCTAACATTTGCAAACACAGCTAATCTTGCAAAACCACCTTGCAATCGCCCAGATCCTGCTTTTGAGCCCAGAGCAAACAGCTATTAAAAGACTTCCCACCTTTTCTTGTCTCAGGGCACATCTGTGTAACTGCCTTTGTTCTTTGTTGCTGGGAAAGATTTCCTCCAACAGACTGTGCACCCTGAAGCCCAGACAATGGAATAAGGTGAAGGGGTTAGGGAGGGGGAGAAGCTTGAGTTAAGGTATAAGAAGATTTGCTTTCTGTAACCAATTTGCACTACCTGGCCAGAGCTTCTCTAGCGACAAGGGGCATGCCCTTTCTCATGGGAAAGTAATAAAACTCTTTTCTGCTTTTCAATAACTCAGCCTCTCAATATTTTATCTGAGTAGTGTTCTCTGTCCCACACAAGTTCAATATTTATCTCTAATCCTGGCTGCAAAGTCCCTCCTCTGTTTCCTCATTGGCTAAGTACTCCAGAGTGCACAACTTTCCAGTATGCCTATTACACATCTGCTCTTTGACATGTCATCTCTCCTTCTTTATACATTCCATGGTTTAGGAGAAGGTGTCTTAGCCCCTCCTGGAGGTGGAGAAGCTAATATTTATAAGCCTATTAAACATGGGCACTCTAAGCAAAGTTTAACCTTTATCCTACTTACTAACTTCTATCAGCAAAACAAGATAAGACCAGCTTTATCTTATTTTACCTAGTTACTTTTAGTTGTTTCAGTTTCTTGGAATCTTTTGTTCTGATTAACTTCTATTAGCAAAACAAGAGACCTACTGTATCCTGTTTCACTTAGTTACTTCTCTAGCTGTTTGCTCCAAATTTATGGGAACAAACATTTTTGTTATATCTCTCAGTTGCTAAATCCAACCGCCTTTTGTCAATCCTCCTTCTTGATTTCTCTGCTCACTATGGAACATCCTCTTTTCCTTGGTAGCTTCTTTAGGTTCTGGACACATCAGTCTCCTGGTTTTCCTAACTTATCAAATTGGTCCTTCTTAGTTCCCTTTGCTGGATCCTCATCCAAATCACACCTTTAAACCACTGCTATTGACAGGGCTCTCTCTTGGGCCTTCTCTTCTCCCTCCATACTACTTCACTAGATGATGTCATCAGCTCCTATGGATTCAATTATCATTTCTGTGCAGATATCTTTCAGATCTATTCATCTAGCCCTAACCTCCCTGTTGACTGACCTCTACTCTTGCATCTCCAACTGCCTACTGGCCATCTCAAATTAGATTATCTTGAAGACATCTTAAACTCAACAAGTCCAAAACTAAACTCATTAGTCTTTCCCCCTAGACCTTTCCCCTCCCCCACTCCAAACTTCCCTATTACTGTCAAGGGCAGCACCATCCTCCCAGTCCCCCAGGCTAGCAACCTACAGTCATCCCCAACTTCTCATTACCCCTGCACCTTCCATATGTAATGTTGCCAACGCCTATCCATCTTTGTAACATTTCTCAATTATGCCCCCTTCTCTGACACAACTACCACTCTGGTGCAGGCTGTCTTCAGCTCATGCTTGGATACTGCAATAGCTTGCTGGTGGGTCCACTTGCCTCAGAACTTTGTCCACTCCAATCCACCCTCCAGTACCTCCAGGCTACCATACTACCTCCTACACACTAAACTCCAGGGGCAGTTACCTCAGAATCAAGTACTGAATCCTCTAACAAATTCCTTTTTCTCCCAATTCCTCCTCCCCCTGCCCCACCCCTTTCCAATCTTCCTACACCTAACACCTGGTCACACACTCTCCATCAAGCCATCCTTCTTGCTGTTCCCCAAACCAAAGACATTCCACCTGGGTGCTCCAGGTATTTTTTTTTCTGGCTTCCCCTCCTCATCTCTGCCTCTTGGCTTCCTTCAAGTCCCAATTAAGTCCCATCTTCTACAGGTAACTTTTCCCAACTCTTATTATTTTTCATGCCTTCCCTCCGTTAATTATTCTCTAGTTATCCTTGTTTGCACACATTTGTCTTCTCCATTAAATTGTGAGCTCCATGACAGAATGTTTTTTTTTCCATCCCCAGGCTTAGCACAGTGCCTGGCACATACTAGGCGCTTAATAAACGCTTATTGGCTGATGACTATAATTAAATGTCAAGTGTAATTCTCTTAACATCCACCCAAGGGATACAGGCCACAGGTGCTCCTCATGTTTTCCTGAGAGGCAGACACAGCTGTGCAGTTGGTCAGGCCCTTGGAAATTCTAACTCATTTTCCTGTTTTGTTTTGTTTTCCCCCTTTGGGCAGGGAACCTCCGCGGTGACCCTTCTCGGGCCCGGAAACTCTCCCTTGCCTAGGGACAGTTTTCCCTGGGGGAGGAGAAGAGAAGAGGGAGGGCGGAGAGCGAAAAGTATTGTTAAGGTTTTCAGAAACAATAAGAAAGCTCGAGGTGCCCTCGGGGCCTGCTCCTGGGCGACCTCCCGTCGGGCGCCCAGAGGGCCCAGGCGTGGCCGCTTCAGGGGCCGCCAAGCAACGCTGGCTCCCATCCCGTATCAAACAGGGAGCAGGTAACGGTGTGGAAGAGCTTTGTACCTACAAGGCACTGCGGCGGCTTTCCGAGACCAGCGGAAGTGGCTTTCCCCAGGCCTCCGGCAGCTTCCGGTTCCCTTCCCCTCCCCCCACCGTTCCCAGAGGGCGGAGCGTCGTTTACGGTCAATGCCAGGGCGGGGCCGTCTCCAACAGGAAGAGCTCCCCTCCCCCACCCCCCCGTGGGAGAACCCGCCCCGGACTAATCGCGGACTTCTCCAGCAGCGGGTCCCACCCAGAGCCAGCACCTGATGCCGCCTGTTAAATGCTGATAGAGTCACCTCGGCGTCAGTCAGCAGAGGAGAACAGCCGCTGGCGACGCTGCGGCTTCGCGGTCCGAGGAGCCCGAGTCCACCTAGAGCCTCGCGCCGCAGCCATGGGGGCATGTCCGCGCCGCGGGGCCTGGCTCCGCTCCGTGGGGTTCCTCGGGGCGCTGGCGCTGCTCGCCCTGCCGCAGGCCAGCGGTGAGGAGGGGCGCCGGGGCCGGGGCCGCAGGTGGGGTGGGGGAGGGAGACAGCGGGGAGGGGCCGAGGGTGCGAGGGGGCTTCGGGTGGCAGACCGCTGCCCCTCCCCTCCAGACAGCTCCTCGCCCCGGGGGGTCCTGAGCCTGGCTCCCTTCCCGCTGGGAATTGGTCAGCGATTGACAAGCCTTTCTGGCGGTCCACGCTCCGGGAAGCTCCTTCTATTAGTGCTTTCATAATGCTCACAATTATGCTGTTGATTTGTGGAAACGGAATCCGAGTCATTAAAAGGAATCAAGCGTTTATTGAGTACCTGCTGTGTGCCGGGCGCCACGCTGCTGGCTGGAGTCAAAGATAAAAATGAAAGGGCTGTAGCAGATGTCAGCCTGAAGAATGCGAGGGATAATGGAGCCGGGTCAGCTGTAAAGGGGTGACCCTAAAATGGCGAGGCCAGCGCTCTGGGGGGCTTTTAAATTGACTAAAGGGGAAGTCGGTGTCTCGACACTCTCTCCACTCCAATTTTTGTTTTGTGTTTGATGGGAGTTTTTTGGCCGCTGGAAGAATCCTTAGAAAAACTGAAGTAGTTTCACCACCCGACTACTTTAACAGAAATAGGAAACTTATACGTATGTACATATGTATGGGTATATACACATACGCATACATGTGCAGAAGGCAGTGGCATTTTTGTCCACTGGAGAGAATGCTTGAGTGGGCTAGGTATCTTTGCTTTAAATTGTCGAGAACTTTGTGTTATGGTGACCTGTGTCGGGCCTCATTTAGAAACTGTTTCAGGCACAGTTATTTGTAGGTTAACACTAATCCTCATTTCTCCTGAAGGGTTTTTGAGCAAACCACATTATTGAGAGAGTATGGAGCATCCCATTTGTCCCAGTAACGTTATCTTGTATGGCTCCTGAGTTGGGAGAAAAGCTGCTGAAGTCCTAATATTAATGTACCATTGGTTTAGGTTTTATTAGTCCTTTGTGAGGTTAACTGGATCAAAATGAGAGACAAAAAGTATTCTCAATTGGCAGCCATTCCTCGTGTGTCCTTCCTTTTAAAACTATTTGGAAATAATCATTTCAATGATGAGTTAGGGCTGCACTCAGGACTCCACATTTGTTTTAGACTGATAACTCATACTTTGTCAGAGCAGTTGAAAGCTCAAATCTTGGAGCTATTTCTATTGAGTAACACTAAAAAAGTAACTAGAGATTTGGAAATGAGGTTTTGAAATGAAATCTTTGATTATCATTTTGCCTCCCTAAGACATAAATTCATGTTAGGGCTTTGACTGTAATATGACCCATATCATATCAAACCTTGTTTCTTGAATAGGTATGCCAAGGGTGAGAAGAAACCTGGTGTCATGGTTGAAAAAGAGAGGAAAGGAATCGGCAATAGTGCCTAGTATGTGCTAGGCATTGTGTTAAACACTTTTACAAATATTACCTCTTTGTTGTTATATTATCCTCATTTTTTACTTGAGGAAACTGAGATAAAAAAATGAGCTGGCCAGGGTGATACAGCTAGGAAATGTCTGAGGTTGGATTTGAAAACAGTATTCTTAGAAAGATAATTAAGATTCTTTTAATGAACGTTTTCCTTCTTACTGGAATTGTGTATAGGTTGTAATATTTAATCACTCTTTTTTTAGGTGATTGTACTACTCTGCCAGCATTTCCTCATGCTCATCCCGAAGAAAACTATGATGCTGATAAAACTTTTGTTGTTGGAACCATTGTACATTACAAATGTGATACTGGTTATCTTAAACTACCCGGAAAATCAGACACAATTGTTTGCCAGGGTGTGAAATGGTCAGAAATTCCACAATTTTGTGATCGTAAGTTGTTTAATTTAGGTTTATTTTTAAGGTTAAAGGTTAAGGTTAAAAACTAAGGTTAAAACCTAAGTTAAAACTAAGTACTTAACAAACTAGATAGAGGCATAAGTCCTTATAGATAAGACACTGATCTTGAAATCTCGGTCTGTATTCTGCCTCAGAAGGTTACTGATCATGTAGCCCTGGGCAAGGTAGGTAAACTTTCTGTGCCACATTTTTCTCATCTGTAAAATGAAGGGATTAGGCTCAGTGGAAGGTCCTTTCAACTCTAAATGTGTAATCTTGTGAATTTTAATGCTTTAAATATCCCTAAGAGCTTATTCTTTTTTTTCTTTATATCTCTTGTTCTTTGTCAGTTCTCAATATTATATATTTTTTCTTCTATAGGACCAGTTTGAAAGCTATATAGTAGTACTTTGAATTGTTTGATTAGTATTTCTTTGATCTGTAGTGAGGTTGAATTTTTTTTTCAGGTTGTTACTGACAGCATGCTTTCACTTTGGTAAATTTTCCTTTGACTATGCAAAGTGAATTGAGTGTTGCTCTTTACTGTTTGTTAAGTTCTTATGTAATTTTTCATGCAGTATTCCTAACTTTTTTGTTTTTCTTTTTGTGCCTTGCAGATAGTAAGCACTTAATGTTTGTTCCATTGATTTATTGGATATTTTTTGTTTATAATTTTTCCTTGCAGTTTGTCTGCTTCCTCACAATATCTCATTTAATAATTTTTATATGCCCTTTGCAACTGAGACAAAAAACATTCCCCTTTTCATTTTTAATGAATACTTTTGTATGTTTACATCTGTAATACAGATGCAGTTTTTTATGGTATGCATTGAGATTCAGCTTTTGTTTTTGTCATGTTGCTGTATGGTTTTCCAAAAATATTTGTTAAATAATCCTTAACCTAGTTTTTGTTTTCCACAAATTCTGTCAAACATTACCCACATTTGAAAATGTGTCAGTTCTGTTTCTGTGATCTTTATCGCATTCCATTGGTCTTTTTTCCTTCCAAGAATGAAATAATTTTGATACCCAGCTTCACTAAATTAAAGAGTTTATAGGAAGACATAGACAAGAGTTGAACAAGATTAAGAGGGGATACAGATATGTAATAATTTTACATTGTTGCAGGAAGTATTCACATTCAGTAAGTTGTTTTCTGACTTATATCTCACTTATTTAAAGTCACTTAGTAAATAGCCTCCATGTGCTAGAATATAGTAGAGAACCCAAAAGTGAGCAAACATAGGCTTCTTAAGAGGCAAAAATCGATATCCTGAAGTTTTCACAGTAGTGGTTCATGTACTTTAGTATTAACCCTTTCCTCATAGGCTATTCTGTTTTACACAGTTCTAAGTTTGTTAGTTATCTGATTTGAAAGCCCATGCTAAGTTAGAAGCATCAAATTACAGAATCAAATCTGAATTGAAAGAGACCTTATAAGCCATATAATGCAAACCATCCTTGAATAAGTATTTCTCTTATAATGTAGTTGGTAATAATCCAGCCTTTGTTTAAAGACCTGCATTGGGATGAGAGTAGAGTGACCCAGTATATATTATGTATGTACCCATTTCACTTTGATAGTTCTGATTATTAGGAAATTTCTCCATATATCAAACCCAAATCTGCCTCTCTGTAACTTCTGTCCTGTTACTCCTAGTTTTGTCATCTGAAACCAAGGAGAAGTCTAAACTCTTTAAAAACTTGATGACAGTGATCATGTTTCCTAGTCTAAATCTTCACCTTGTCAAACTAAAAATTCTTGGTTGTTTCTACTTCTTCAGATACGGCATAATTTCAGTTCCCTTCACGATACTGGCTGTCCTTCTCTCTGTGTTCTCTCTCAGTTTCCTGTGTTCTTCCTTCCACCTCAAAGTCTTCATTCCAGTGATCCTTGAAGGTGGCACCCTGAACTGTACGTGTTTATTCAAGTGTGGTCTGGCAGTGCAGTCCTGGGCAAAGAAGTCACACTTCTTTGGCTGCCATTCTATACTAATTGATTCATTGAATTGTCAGTCTGTTAAAACCTCCGATGTTTTTCAAACAAATTTTTACTCTAAGCTTGCCTTTCCGATCGTGTACTGAAGAAGTATTTTTTGAAAATAAATATGGGAATTGAAATTTAACCAGTGATAAATGTAATCTTATTAGATTTAAACCAGCAAGTTAGTCATTCAAGTTCTTTTCAGATCCTGACTTTGTTCACTGTATTAGCTATACCTCTCCTAAACTTTGTGTCATCTGCACCTTTGATAAGCATTTTGTTGATTCAAATGTTAAGCTAGAGTGATCCCTAGGATGTTTTACTGGAAACTTCCTCCAAGTTGACATCAAGCTGTTAATGACTACTCTCTGGGTCTGGCAGTAAGGTAGTTCGGAATCCACAAAATCTATTCGCCATCTCTCCATCTTGTCTGTAAGAATAACCTGAGAGACTTTTTCAAATGCTTATTAAAATCTAGGTAAATTTATACTTGCAATATTTGCTTGATCTACCAGGCAGGGCACTGGATTCCCTTGGCTAGCTCTTCTCAGTGCCTGGGCCAAGTCCTTCTTGAATGTACAATTGGCTCTTCTCTGCCACCAAGGATCATACTCCTTTAAGCTACTTCCACTGATTCTCTCTTCTGTGCTAGATTCAGTATCTACTACTAGACCAGTGGACAAGATGCTGTGGATAGTGGGGCTGAGAAATATAATCCACCCCAACCCCTTTGCTGTGTGCTCTGGTAGAGTGCTGGGATCATACCACACCAGTCTCTTTCTGACTTGGCTTTCTCCCTTTCTGCACCCTACATGAAACTTGTTAAAAGAGTAAAACCCTGTTAAAAAAGAAAATAAGGTTACTATGGCATAACTTGTTTTTGATAAAGCCAGGTGGACTTCTCCTGATGACCAGATGCTATTCTAGATTATTCACTAACCATTCCGAATTTTTGCCAGGAATTAAAGTCAAACTTACTGATTTTTAACTTGCAGGTCACTGCTTGCATTTTTAAGAACTGAGACGTTTGCCCTTTTCCAGTACTTTGACAGTTCTTCTGTTTCTACAGTATTTCATTGATCACAGTCCCTCTTCAACAATATGTAACATTATTTTAAGGTTCTGTACATTTTTTTAAAAATAAAATTTTATCAAGTTGCTTTTTGTTTTGCACATGTCTCTGCCATTCCTTCTTAAACCCTACTACCACCACTAAAAATGTTTGAGCAAAACAAGCTTGATAAAACTGCATTTGACGATATGTACCATATTCCATTTATATCGTACTCCAGCTCATCTCAGAAGAGAATAATGTTTCAATATGAGTTTTCCAGAATTTATATTTATGGCAGTGTGTCAGTTTCACTGCCTTTTAATATTGTTATTGTAGTCATTGTTGAACATATTTTTAAAAAAAATCCAAATTAGTGAATGGTTGGGTTCCATAGGTAACCACACAGTTCTTTAGACAACTCCCTCTTTATTCCACAACTGGATGATTTCTCTGTCTTTAGAATTTCCTCTTGAGCTTCTCATTCTTTCTGGGATAACTTTCTCTATAAATTTTTAGGCCATGGAATGCTACTTTCCCTTCTCTGAAGAAGAAATTTTCTCCTAAAATCTAGGGTGTGTGCCAGACTTTCTAGCTTTCCTGGCTTTTTCAGTCATGAGTTCTAAAGATGAGTAGTTATTACCATGTTCCTTGCATTTTTATTTCACCAGTTATTTTTTGTTGTTAGAACCAAGCATAAAATAGCTATTCCCTTAATGGTTTCTGTATTACTTTTTAAAAAATAAATTTAGTTTTAGTTTTCACTCCCATAAGATTTTGAGTTTTAAATTTTCTCCCCCTCCCTTCATGCACCCCTCCCCAAAAGGGTGTGCAGCCTGATAAAGGCTCTATATATACATTCATATTAAACATATTTTCATATTAGTCATGTTGTAAAGAAGAATTAGGACCAATGGGAGGAACCATAAGAAAGAAAAGACAAAGCAAAAAAAGAGCAAATAGTGTGCTTCCATCTGTATTCAGACTCCATAGTTCTTTCTCTGGATGTGGATAGCATTTTCCATCATGAGTCTTTTGGAATTGTCTTAGATCCTTGCATTGCTGAGAAGAGCTAAGTCTATCAAAGTTAGTCTTTGCACAGGGTAGCTGTTACTGTGTACTGTGTTCTCCTGGTGCTGCTCATTTCACTCGGCATCAATTCACATGAGTCTTTCCAGGTTTTTCTGCAATCAGCCTGCTCATTTCTTATAGCACAGTGGTATTCAATTATGTTTGTATACCACAACTTTTTCAGCCGTTCTCCAATTGACATACATTGCCTCAGTTTCCAATTCTTTGCCACTACAAACAGCTGCTATAAGTATTTTTGTATATGTGGATCCTTCTTCCCATTTTTATGATCTCTTTGGGATACAGAATGATATTGCTGGGTCAAAGGGTATGTACAGTTTTATAGCCCTTTCAGTATAGTTTCAAATTGCTCCCAGAATAGTTGGATCAGCTCACAATTCCACCAACAATGCATTAGTGTTCCAATTTTACCATATCTTCTCCAACATTTATCATTTTCCTGTTTTGTCATGTTGGCCAGTCTGATAGGTGTGATGTGATACTTCAGAGTTGTTTTGATTTTCATTTCTCCAATCAATAGTGATTTAGAGCATTTTTTCATATGACTATAAATGGTTTTAATTTCTTCATCTGAGAACCACCTGTTCATATCTTTGACCATTTATCAATTAGAGAATGACTTGTATTCTTATAAATTTGACTTAATTCTCTGTATATTTTAGAAATGAGGCTCTTATCAGAGAGACTGGTTGTAGAAATTCTTTCCCAATTTTCTACTTTCCTTCTAATCTTGGTTGCGTTGGCTTTGTGCAAAAACTTTTTTTTTTGTATTTTCTTTTTTTTTTATTTTTAACATATGTTTTTAAAACTTTGGGATAGAAATTTTCTCCGGTCCTCCCTCCCCACCCACCCCCATTGAAAAGGCAA